AAAAAAAAATCCCATACCCCTATATGTTTTTGTGTTTCTCTACCATGATTTTTGCACTTTAATTGTGTTTAGGGAACTAAATTTTATCATCCTCTGCCCAAGAAAGTTCATACTTTTGAAGGTTTTATGTTCTGAAGATGAAATCAACGGTTAGATACTTTTGGTCAACAGGGAAATTTCTAAGAAGTAGAAACTTTTGAAACTTAAAAGCTTAATATGTTTGGGTCAATTCTTTAAAATAAAAAAGTACAAGGTTATACTTTCAAAATCAATTGTGGACTTTTGGTTGAAAGAGGGAGTATTTGTCACTGTTGGTCCTTTGTGTGATTTCTTGTGCTGTGGATTCGCCACAAAGATGTTGATGTTCGTAAGTTTAGCAAGATTCTCTCTTCATTCAAGTCTATGCATATTGGATTTGATGATGGGGATGTTTAGAGCTAAGAAGCATTTCAAATTCCGAAATCTGGGTGCACACAGGGTGATGTGGGTGTGCAGAAGATGTGACCTTCACCATATCATGGAGTTGTTGACCCTGCATATGGATGAGGAATAGGGAAATTTTGGTTCTCCACACCGAGAGAGAATTTGAAACGAATTAGAAATTAAGTCATTGAATTAAGAATTAAAAGGCGAATTTTTGTTATTGTATGAGAAGGAAAGGGAGGAGGTGATGATCAAGAGACATGAACCAACAAATTCTTTTTCTGTGGTAGTTCCATGATTGCATCTTTTGCTTTGAGTGGATGCTCTTTCCTTTTATTTATTTCTAATTCATTTTTGTGTTGCATATATAATAATATATGTACCTTGTTGTATGCAATATATTATTCCGGTTACTATTTATAAAATAAGTCTAGTGTCTTGCTTACCTTCTCGTACTTGCTTGCCATCTTTATGGATCGTCTTCTCCTACTGACTTGCTGCTATGGTTCTCTCTCGTGTTCTCCAGACTCCCACTTTGGAGAGCATCAAGTGTATATGTATATGTACATCTTTCCTTACCTTAGCATTCATGATTAAGTCTCAGCTTTGCTTTCATAGTATATTTCTGTGTATACTTTTTGTAGATTTCAAGTCTCCCAAGTTCACTGTCTAGTAATTTGTGTCCAATCTACTATCCATTTACGATTTGTGTAAATTTATATTGTGTTCATTCATGCTTATTTTGCATGTTATGAACTATTAAATTTTATTCGTTTTTGACCTCACCTCACCTCGCCTTGCCTCTTTTTTCCGTACTCTAAAACCTTGGTCATAGGAGATGCCTATCGACAAATGACTTCAGTGGGATCTACTTGAGTTTCTTGTAGGGCCAAGAAGGGTCATCTGAACTCTGAAGGTTGGCAATACTATTTTCGGCGGTTCCATCCATGCTATGGAAGCTGTTGTTGGTCAGAGTTATGCCTTCTAATGAACTTCCATTTTTACTTAGTAGGGTGTTTAGATGGGAGATTGAGGTTGGAGGATTCCTTTGCGTACATAGCCTGCGTTACCTTTCATTTTGTAGGCCAACATATCCTAAATGGTTGAGTTCCGAGAGGGACACGGAGCAGGTGTGTTCTTTGAAATGATCATATAAGCTATTGGGGTGGATAAGGCAGGGAAATATGTCCCTGTTATGATCCAATATCTCAAGGGAGAGGAATTGACTGAAAGCGGATGAGAATCCCTCGAGTCATTAGGTGGGTCACATGCCATCACTTGTGTATGCTTTGGAGGAAGCTGTTGATGAGCAAAAGAGAGCTCGGGAGGAATGTGAGACTAGGGTTAAAGAAGACATCCAAGACTTGGAAAGATATTTTAGTTTGATTTTCAGGGTTGTAGGCCACTATGTGATTGATGATATAGCCCACGGTACCAAATAAGGATTGGGTTTTAAGGCATTCCATAGCTATTTGGTACATTAGACCTGAGTTCTTGTTCTTGGTTTCATGTGACAAGTTTCAAGTTATTCTTCCCAACTCGTTTTTAGGGTTCTTTAGGCTTTTCTTTGTTGATAGTGGCAAAGTCTTATAAGTTGAATCAATCAAATTCAATTCCCAAACTTGGTGGTTAAACTCTAGTAATTTCTCTACCTTAGGACCGCTATAGTTACGCAATAGTTCTTGCTAAGAAGAACGCCCATGTTGTGGCAAAAGCTTCTAATTCTGCGAATTGTGCGAGTTCCACGTCCGATTTTGAGAGGGGGAGATCCTAAAAATACGCTGATGGGGGACGAGCATACTATGTGTATGAGGTCTACCCAGTGCTAGATGCAGAGGCGCATAATAGATTGATATCTCTTCCATCTTAGCTCACGTTATGGAAGAAGGAACCGAGAAGGTATTCAAATAGCTTAGAGAAAAATAGTGTTATGGTTTGATTTCACTTGAAGTTATAAATTATTGAAAATGGTTTAACAAGTTAAAACATTTTTTATTAATAAGATGATATAATTCCCTTATGATGGTCCTGGGAGGTGAAATAGTATGTGTGGAGTGGTGGATACGTAATTCATTTAGGGGGTTTCCATGTATTTACAGTGGCCCGGGAAAGGATGAGGACTAGCATGTTAAGATCAAGTTGGAAGTGATCAAGATTGATCTATATTCGGAGAATTCTTGGGTGGACAATATAATTATATATCAAGATCCATATGGTTAGGAATTATTTGTGCGATAGTTTGGCAAAATCTTGGGTTATGTCTCAACTTTGCAATGCCATATACATCAACTCATTTGCACGTTCCGAGCAAGAGTTATGCCCATTTGATTTTCTTATGTAATTGAATATGAACCAATTGCATGCTTAGTATTTGTTGTAAAAGTTAATTGTGAAATACAAACATCATCCCTTGGGTCACTCAATATGCAGTTTTCATCCCTTAGCCTTTTTTATGCTAGTTCTTGGATCATGAATAAGTTTTTGTTTCTTTTCCATGCATTTGTTACGGTTGAATATGTCATCTCATATGCCAAGCGTGTGACTAAAGTTCAGGGGTATGCTTGTCTATTTAAGAGTTTTTTTCTATTTTGGCTCAAACCCTACTTTTAAATTAAAAGGAAGCGAAAAAGACACCAGATCCTCAACCCTCTTTTTCTTCCCATTGAGCCCTTGTCTCCTCTTATGGGGGGAGTTTGGTTTACAAAATGTTTTCTAGAAGAATGGAATCTGTCAAAGTAATTTGACTTTGAAGAAATTGGAATGGAGTTTGGTTGTGCGTTTGGTTGGAGTGAATTGGAATGGAATCTTTTATATGATTTGGAATCTGCCTGTTTGGTTGGTAGAATGTAGCTTCGGGATTAGAATGAATAAATGTAAATGACCACATACCCCTTTATAATGGTGCTGGTCGGCAATGGTTCAGATTGGTGATGGTCAATGGTGGTTCAGAATGGTGGTTCAGAACGGTGGTTGTCAACAATGGTTTAGATCGATGGTGGTCGACGGTGGTTCAGCTGGGTGGTGGTCGGCGGAGGTTCAAATCGGTGGTGGTCGGCTGTCGTTCAGCTGGGTGGTGGCCGGCGGTCGTTCAGCTGGGTGGTGGTCGGCGGTGGTTTAGGTCGGTGGTGGTTGGTGATGGTTTAAAACTGTGTTCAGACTGGTGGTGGTTGGCGGTGGTTCAGATGGAGGTCATATGGGTCTGKGTAAATCAAGTAGGTAAGATGGAATAATTTCGTCTTTTTAAGAAAATAGGATGGAATGGAATTGATTTCCTTCTCAATTGTGATGGAATCCAACCTACGAATGGTGGAATTTGTGGAATTCAATTCCATTCCATTCAATAGGTAAACCAGACACCTTAATGGAATCTGGTCAACAGAATTGATCATTCCAATTTCTTCAGATTCCATCGGAATCCTACGAACCAAACACCCCCTTATATTCATACCCAACCCACTCCCCCATCCGGTTCTTCATTTTCTGGAACTAAATGTACGGGGAACAATTCTTGATCAGGGACCACCTGTCTTAAAAAGTCCAAGGGATGAAATCTGCAGATCAAGCAACAGGGGAAGATTTTTATATTCGCTCAAAATTTAATGTAGCTATAAAAAATTATTAAGATTTACTATTCATATTAATTTTATAGTCAAGGGTTATCAGTTTTGTCTTAAAACTTGAAACAACATTTCCTTTATTCCGGATGGAGCATCTTCTATTGTAAAGTTTATTGTTCGTTGAATATGTACCATCAAATATTTATCAACCTAATCTGAACCTTCATCTTTATCATGCCCAAGAGTTACGGAACTATAATTCTTTATGTTATAATTGCTTTTTTACAGGGATCTTGGAAATTCGAACTTGTCTGGCCATCTTGTGCCTGAACTAGGAAAACTTGAACATCTACAATATCTGTGAGTTACTCATTTTTGTTACCTAGTGCATGTAGTGGATGATAGTTCAGTCAAAATGGCATGTCCATGCAAACATTTAGTTCATGGAATCTTTATAATCCGCAACAATGAGCAGATGGAAACTATGATGATATTTTGATTGATGCAGGGAGCTTTACAAAAATACGATTCAAGGTACAATTCCTGCAGAGATCGGTAATCTGAAGAACCTCATAAGTTTGGATCTCTACAACAACAATATCTCTGGCATAATTCCACCTTCATTGGGGAAGCTGAAATCTTTAGTGTTCTTGTGAGTTTGGCTATTTACTCTGTTGCTTGACCTTTATCGAACATGGAAAAATGATAGGAAAAAATGAAGGGGATGAGGAAAAATGCCCAAGTTTGTAGGGTCACTCATTTGAGCAAACTTGACGCATAAAAGGAGGATTGTGACACCAAATTTTTTAATTTTTATCCCATACTAGTTAACAACATCAGTCACCACAACCTTTTATCCCTAACTAGTTAGGCTGGGCTACACATGAAACCAAGTGAAATTATAAAATGGTGCAGGCAAATGCAAACGTAAAGGGATCTCCCGCCATCCTCAATTGATGCCACAGCAACCTTTTACCTTTTATTCTCATCTGTAATGCTGCCATCCTTCAGTGTGCAGCGACACATCCCATCTCACATGTATATATTTCGACACATACTGATTGATGCCAGCTACATAATGCATAAGGGGCTGTTTGGTTGGTTTTCCTAGCTCCTGTATGGATAAAGTTGTCTATATAGAATGAAAGGTTTTTGTTTGGGAGGGTTTTTTCATAGATGGAAGGAGCATGTTTTTTAATTTAAGCCAATACCAAACAGTCTGTAGCTAACCGAATAAGTTGCTAGTCCCATTAAGCTCATTAAGCTGCTAAAAACAGGCCCTTAATATCTGTGCAGGCTTGGTTGCATGCAACTTTTATGTTGATAAAATTATTAACTTCTTTTTCACCATTGGCAGGCGTCTTAATGATAATCATCTAACTGGAAGTATCCCCAGGGAACTCATTGGTATTTCGAGCTTGAAAGTTGTGTATGTGCTCATTCCCTTCTTATCAATTTGATTGGTACATGTAATGGAACAATGTTAATAAGTATTTGCATTTCTTGTGCAGGGATGTATCAAACAATAACCTCTGTGGAACAATTCCTACCACCGGTCCATTTGAACACATCCCTTTGAACAAGTAAGACTTTTCCATATGAACAACAGCTTCAATTTCTCCATCCGTATCAGAATTTATTTATTTACAGATTTTCTTGTGTTTGATTGAAACTGGAAGAGAAAGGGCAATCTAGTATTATGATTAATTCTTGGTCATTTACTCATTTTGATAACATCTCCTGATGTTGGCATCTTTTGTTTTTTGACCAATTGAACCCATCCCTGATCTATGTGAGGTTCAGTGTTCATTGAAATCTTCATGTTCTTGAAGCTAAAAAGAGACCTCTAACACGGGTAACGATAACAAATCAAAAAGGAAACAAAAAAAGGTGAAACAGATAAAGTTTGTATGACTTTTTCAATTGCATGTAGCAAAAGAATTTATCGACCATATATTAACATTCTTGTGGTCATATCAATCCTATTATCATCACATTAACCAAATAATTCATTTGGAACATTGAGATGCTTTAAAACCCTCTCCATCAAAGTATTTCCTTTTTCTTTCATTTGGAACAGAGATATGTGATTGATGTGAATCTCTCCAAGAATGCTGCAAATTTGGACCAAAATGAATGGGAAATATTATTTGCCTTATGTAGGAGATCAAAGTGCTTCATGTGTTGACTTCTTTTATGTCTTCATTTGAGTTTTGTTTGTTTTGGATATCGAATAAGTTTGGGATAAAATTGGTGGTTGTGTTTTTGCAGCTTCGAGAACAATCCTCGTCTGGAAGGACCAGAGTTGCAGGGACTTGCAAGTTATGATACCAACTGCTCTTAAAAAGTAGTGTTGTGCTGCATTTTATAAAACTATCCCATCTTGAATTGCAAGACGTCTTGTGAAAAGATATATCTGGTTTGTGATATTGTCTGTAAAATGGTTATGTTTGCTGTGTCTGTTGTTGTTGTTGTCTTGAAAAATATCAACCAATGGAAGTTATAACATAGACATATGTGTGACTGAGTTTGAGATATAAACCTAGTTTGGCCAAATTGGTTTTTTAGGTGGCAATGGCATGCACAGCCAGAAAACCTATACATAAGGGTGAAATTTATAATCTTATAATGGGGATGGAAATTAATTGATTTTATGTTTAAAAGGTTTTAAACATATTTATCAAGTCCAAAATATTATATAAGGAGATGATTGGTAGGTGTAAAGTGGTTCTATACAGTTTAACCTTTTGTATGATTTAGTGTTGAATGAAATATGAATGTTTGAGAAGTGTTCTGAATTACTAAATTATTTTGTAAGAATATCATTTTATAAATATAAATTACAAAAACTTGAAAAAGAACACACATCCACACATCTTGATATCCTATATATATATATATATATATATATATATATATATATATATATATAT